TTTCCTCAGTTGTTTGAGAGGATTAATGATTTTTGAAAGTACTTTTCTTTGTTCATTTTAAGGATGACCAGATCATTAATTGGCTACTAGAATTCCGCTCTTCCATCATGTACTTGACAAAAGACTTTGAGCAACTTATCAGTATTTTGTTGGTAAGTATGCCATTTGTTTCAGGGATTAGTACTTTGAAAATAGTATATATTGTAACAATAAAGTGTTCCTATTATCCTCCTTTCCAATTTAGAGATTGCAGTGGTTGAATAGAAGTCAGAAAGTGGTGGAAGAGTACTTGGCTTTCCTTGGTAATCTTGTATCAGCACAGACTGTCTTTCTTCGACCATGTCTCAGCATGATTGCTTCTCATTTTGTACCTCGTAAGTGGTTATTCTTTGCTTGGTTTGATTTTTTAAAAATATCTCTCTTTATTAAATTACTGCCTTCCCAGTATACTTTTGAGATTGCACCACCATGGAAGGTTTCAGAGTACATATTGGCAGCAGTTTCTGATACATGTCTCTTTCCAGTAATGGCCTCTGTGAAAGTGTCTAGATTCATTTGTTGCTATGAATTTTATGGGTTATAGTTAGCTTTAGTGAGCTGTTTAAAAAATATAAAGTTAATTTTTTTTCAGATTGTATATTTAATATGTACTCATTGGACAAAATTTGGACTCTGGATAAAAATAGCTTTTTTGTATAGCTGTTCATTGTTTAGGTCAATGCAGAAGAATAATGTATTTTCTTTCTCTCTCCAAAGCCCGGGTGATCATTAAGGAGGGTGATGTGGATGTTTCAGATTCTGATGATGAAGATGATAGTAAGTTTAAAGATAATTGGAGTAAAGAATGCCTTGTGTGTCTTGTCAGTGCTTACTGAATGATAAAAGCACATTGGCAACTCTGGGACCTATTCTAATTAGTAGACCAGCGAATGGCTGTCTTTGATGGAAACTTTGGTTATATTTAGCATTAATATGCAATCATTTGCCCTAAATGCATTACTGAAATAATTAGTCCATTTAGTCTTCACTGGAAGTTGGTTACACAGGAAATACTGAAATTATTATTACTCTAAGAAATCATTCAGTTGTCGTTAGCAGGCATTTTCAGTTTCAAGTCCATAATTTTTCATTTTAAAGTTTTATTTTGATATTTACAACCTTCACTTTTTTCCATATAGACCTTCCTGCAAATTTTGACACGTGTCACAGAGCCTTGCAAATAATAGCAAGATATGTCCCATCGTGAGTATACTTTTGTTATTTATTTTGAATTATGGTGTTTAATTTTCAAGAACATTTTCTATTGGAAAATAATAAAATGTTAATGGCATAAAAGCTCTCATTATGTGCCTGTTTTTTGGTATCCTGTTGATGAATCCTCACATCGTCTTCAGCTTTTTTCTTTCAAAACTTGTATGCAGATTTCTGCAAAGACTATATAGTGGTTAGAATTTTGCTCTTACATTTGAAAGATACAATACCCAAAATTTTTTGGTGAAGAAACCCCTTTGTGTGTTTGTGTCATGCCATGTGAGCAAAAATTAGGTTTTAAGAATAGCTTGTCAGGTTTGTGGGTTTCTTTTGACGGGGCAACAGGACTTAATTTATTATTTATTAACTGAGAAAATAAAAATTGGTAACTTTCTCCTCTTTTTAAAATAATATATGTGTAATTGAAATTGTAGCTCTTAAATGGAAGCTAATATGAAAACAAAAAGACTTCCCCTTTCATTTGCTTTTTGATATTGAAGTTAATAAAACTTTGGAAACATTTTTTTTCCCCTAAGTCATAGATTTTTTTTCTGATGAAGCTTTGCATTAATTTTAAGAACCAGTCATTTGAATCGAGGGTTGTATTTGCTTCCGTATCTATCCATTTTTGCTCTTAAGTAGAAATGTGAGTTTCTTTGAAAGTCCAGCTAACCTTCTTTGGTTGATTTCTCACAGGACACCATGGTTTCTTATGCCAATACTGGTAGAAAAATTTCCATTTGTTCGAAAATCAGAGAGAACATTGGTAAGAAATCTTTCATGGGAAAAGTAATGAAAAAGTTGTATTGTTGTATTTGTTTTAATGATGTTATGTGTTTTTCTTAAACTTTGTTTTATCTTCAAAGCTTTTAAGCCAAGACTAAGAATTTGACCTAGATTCCTTTCTAAGCAAGTGGAGGATTCGTACTGACTTTTCCTCTTACTACTCTGTGCAAATCCAATTCAGAAATATTTTTTATAGGCTTAACGCTTAAACAGATAAATTGTACTAGAAAATAATAGTTTATATAATACCAAATAGAAGCATTCCTTATTTGAACATGAGTTTTCTATAAATGAACTCTGCTTAAGTTTTTGTGCAATATTTAGATCATCTGTATAGTTCAAATATAGTAGTTTCCTTCTAAGTTTAGATTTTTTTTTTAAGTGTGCTGTTATGTATATAAAATAAAGCATTAATAATGTTTGCTAATTTTTGTGTTAATCTGCTCAAAGTAGAATATTAAAAAGTGCTGTACTTGTATAAAGGAGCTCTGATGGTATAGTAGTAAGGCATTTGGCTGCTAACCAAAAGGTCAGTGGTTCAAACCCACCAGCTGCTCTGTAAAGAAGATGGGGTGATCTGTTTCTGTAAAGATTTACAGCCTCAAAACCCAATGGAGGTCACTATGATTTGGAATCGACTTGATAGCAGTGAGTTTGGTTTTTGGTTTGGTACTTGTATAGATTTATAAAAACCTGAACAAAATAGTAGGAAACCAAATTAACAACATTTTAAAAGAATCATATACCATGACCAAGTGGGATTTATCCCAGGAATGCAAGATTTAACACAGAAAGTCAGTGTAATGCATTGTGTCAATAGACTAAAGGACAAAAACCATATGAGCATCTCAGTAAATGCAGAAAGAGCATTTAACATACTCCAGCACCCTTTCATGAGTAAAACACTCAGAAGGGAACTTTCTCAGTCTGATAAAGGGCATCTAGGGAAAATTCAAAGCTACCATTATAGGCTGAAAGCTTTCCCCCTAAGATTGGGAATAAAACATAAAAAGATCTTTGCTCTTGCCATTGGAGGTTTTAGCCAGGGCAATTAGTCAAGAAAAGGAAATAAAAGGCACCCTGATTGGAAAGAACTAACCTACTTCTGTTTGCAGAGTACATAATCTTATATATAGACAATCCTAAAACCAAAACTAAATTCAACTCAGAACAACCCTATAGCACAGAGTAGAACTGCCCCATAGGGTTTCCAAGGCTGTAAATCTTTACAGAAGCAGACTGCCTCATCTTTCTCCCATGGGGCGGCTGCTGGGCTTAAACTGCTGACCTTTTGGTTACCAGCCTAAATACTTTAACCACTATGCCACCAGAGTGCCTCAGAAAGTCCTGAGGCCTCCACAGAAAAAAAAACCCTAATAAACCTAATGAATGAGTTCAACAAGATTTAAGGATATAAGCTCAATATACAAAAACCAATTGAATGAGTAAAGAATTGTGTTTTTCAATAAATGATACTGGAATAAGTGAATATCCACATGTGGAAAGCAAAGCAGGACCCATACCTGACATCATATACAAAAGTTAAAATGAATCAAATACCTATATGTAAAGTAAGACTCTTAGAGAAAAACATAGGATTAAATCATAACCTTGGGCAACAGTTACTTAACATAAAGTACAAGCAGCCAGAGAAAACGTATATGCATTGGATTTCATCAAAATTAAAACTTATGTGCTTTAAGGGACATCTGTCAAGAAACTGACCCATAGAATGGAAGAAGTATTTGCAAATCATATATTTGATAAGGGACTTATATTTAGAATATGTAAAGAACTAATAATAAAAAGGCAAATTTAAAAATAGACAAAGGATCTAAATAGATTTCTGCAAAAAGATACGGAAATAGATAATAAACACATGAAAAAAAATGTGTCATTAGGGAAATGTAAATCAAAACCACAGTGACACACCACTTTTTACCCACTAGAATGGCTAAAATCAAAAAGACAAACAGTGAAAGTGTTGGTAAGGATATAGAGAAATTAGAATGCTCATACATGGCTGGTAAGAATGTAAAATGGTGTGTGTGCTTTTCCCAAAAAGTTATAAATTGGGTTAACATGAAACAGCATGTCTGCTACTAGGGAATTGAAAACACAGGTCCATGAAAAAACTTGTACACACAGATTTTATAATGGTTAAAAAGTGATTTAACGTTAAAAGTGTTCTATAATGGTTAAAAAGCAATCCAAATGTTCATCAGATATGAATGGATAAACAAAATGTGTAGCCATACTGTGGAAAATTGTTCAACCATAAAAAAGAATGAATTGTGATACATACTTCAACATGGATGAACCTTGGAAATATTATGCTAAGTGAAAAGGATATTGTATAATTCTTTTTATATGAGATGTCAAGAATAGGCAAATCTTTAGAGACAAAGTAGAAAAGCAGTTGGGGAGGGTCAGAGTTTGGAGGGAATGGAGAGTGAGTAATTGATAAAGGTTTTTTTTTGTGTGTGATTTCCGTAAAAGTTTACGGAGCAAATTCATCTTCCATAGAGCAGTTTACATACACTTTGTTTCATGACATTGACTGTAATCTCCCACAGCGTAATAGCTCTTCTCCTACTTCTTCCCCATAGCCACCTCTTCCCTGTGTCCTTCCTTCCCATGCACTCCTGTCCCCTGAGCTGTCTCCCTGTGTGTACACAGCCCTTCTATTCTCCCGTGATTGCTCTCTCCAAGGAGTATATCTAGCTAATGTAAATGTTCAGCTCATATGCCTGTCTTTTGTTTGACTGGAAGCTACAGGAGGGTTCAATTCCAGACCTGAAGGGCAGCTAGGGGCCATAGTCTTGGGTTCCACCAGGCCCTGTCAGACCAACAAACCTGGTCCCTTTTTTTTTTTTTCTATGATTTGGAGTTTTGTTCCACATTTTTCTCCTATTCTATTCAGGATCTCCTACGTAGATCCCCATCCAAGTGGTTAACAGTGGTAGCTGGGCACCATCTAGTTCTTCTGGTCTCATAGTCATATAGGCTGAGGATCGCATGGTATATTAGTCCCTTGGAGTAATTGTTTCCATGTGTCTTTGGTTTTCTTCATTCTTCTTTGCTCTGGATGAGGAGAGACCCATCGTTATATCTAGATGGCCGTGTGGAAGATTTTAAGATCCCAGTTGCTACTTGCCAAAGTAGGATGTGGAACAGTGTTTTTGTGTAGTATGTTATGCCAGTTGAGCTTGATGTCTCCTGTGACCATGGTCCTGAGCCCACAGGTCCAACTATTCACTACCTCTGGGTAGCTGGCTGTGGCCAAGAAGTGACTACAGCTTTGTCCCTTGTCAACTCTATTGTATACTTGGAAATTCTTATAGAACATACAAATACACTTGTAGAAACATTGTCTGCCAACCCTATACATGGTCATGGGCACACTCCAATAAAAGGATTTTTTGAGAGGATGATGGAAATGTTCTGAAATTGATTGTGGTGATAGTTAATGTAACCTTGAATATACTGAACACTATTATATTGGATACTTCAGATGGGTGAATTGTATGGTATGTGAATTATATCTCAAACTATTTAAAAGAAACCACTATAAAAGTATACAAATTACAACTTGCATTGCTGAGGGTAATTAATAAAGTAATTATATGGAACATAGATTGACATCTTTAAATTTCACTCCAGATTCACATTGTTTCTATATTGGTTAGATTTAAAAAAAAAATCCGCTGCCAGCAAATCAATTGCAACTCACAGCAACCCAGAACGTAGTAGAACTGCTTCATAGGGCTTCCAGGGCTGAAATCTTTAGGGAAACAGACTGCTATATTTTTCTCCCCTAGAGCAGCTAGTGGGTTTGGACCACCCCCCTTTTGATTGGCAGCCAAGTGCTTAACCAGTATGTGTTGTTGTCGTTCTTATGTGCCGTCAAGTCGGACCTGACTCATAGCAACCCCTTCTTGGGTTTCCAAGGTAGTATCACTACAGAAGTAGGTTGCCCCATCTTCCTTCCAAGAAGTGGCTGATGGGTTTGAACATCCAGCTTTCTGGTTAGCAGTCAAGTGCCTTAGGCACTATGCTACCAGAGCTCCCAGTATATAGTCTTGTGTTTTTTTCTTTAGATATTTGAAACTAAAGATTGTGTAATCAATGGTTTATTTACATAATTATGAAACATTCTCTGAAAATGTTTAATTCTTTGTTTCATGTATTAGGAATGTTACGTTCATAACTTACTAAAGATTAGCGTGTATTTTCCAACCTTGAGGCGTGAAATTTTGGAGCTTGTTATGGAAAAGCTTCTCAAGCTGGATGTAAGTATGGAATAATACTTTTCTCCTTGATTTTCATTTACTGACTATTTTTATCAGGATCACAGTATTTGAAGCAACAATAACAACGACAGAAACGAATGCACAATTCCACATTCCTTTGATTAATTTCTTTAAATGTTTCTTAAACTTTTAGCTGTGTGCATACATACATACAGTTCAATCTCATGTTTGGGAAAAGGCGTTTATTAGTCACACAAATTTAAAAATACATTTGTGATAAATGCTATGAATGAAGCACTTGCATTACTATGAGATGTGAACCCAATGTAGTTGGAGAGTCAAGAGGGCATTCCTAACGGAGTGATGTTGAGTTGATATTTTTATATCTTTTTGGTGTTTGAATTTTTTACAAAGGCAAATTATGATTGTCAACTAGTAAACTTTCCCTCAGTCCCCAAGGTTTGAAATAAGGAGCAGTGGGAATGAAAAGTTATGGGTGGATTCTAGCAACATTAGAGGAAATAAGAAATTGTCCTTGAGACAGTGATGGAATTGGAAAAGAAGGGGATAAAAGACAGGAATCCCTCAAAGGTTGTTCCTCATGGAACGGAATCATGTATAGTGTTGTCATTAACAGTAATGGGTTGGAAGTTTGAAGATAATGAGTTTCATTTTGGACAGGTTGAATTGCTGAGTGGGATGAGGTGGGAGGGTGGGAGGGTGGGAGGCTGGATGGAGAATACTCACTCAACAGTTACAGCCACACAGGTAAGGGACTGAGAACAGCCTTGTGAAATGATGCAGTTTAGGATAAGGGAAGAGGGAGAGATCAGAAGTAAGAGAAAAACCCCAAGCTTGGATACTGAGGGAGGATTTGGAAGAAGGAAGGATTTGGTTAATGGCATCCCATATTCTTAACATTTTAAAGAGGATGAGAAGAACAAAGGTCCTTGGATTCAGTTATTAGAAAATGATCTTTGTTGCCCTCCAGAGGGCAGTCTCAGTAAAGAAATACCAACTACATTTCAGGAGAGCATGGATGGTTAGGAAATTCAGGCTGTTGTAGACCTTGTGGAATTTTGAGATGAAAGGGGGAGATGGAGCGGGGGTGAAAGCAGTCATGTTTTAGAATTGGGGAGATGAAACTTGGTGGAGAAAAAACTGATGCTGTGGGGGAGAAGGGAGGTAAAGTGAGGTAGGCCTCAGATGAGCTGGCCGTTAGACACACTGACTCATTGCTAACTTGCAGTTAGATTCCTCTGGTCAACTACATATCATAGTTCACATGGACACTGCATTTTATATGTTTTTGCATTTACCAAACCGCATAACCCCCTCACACATTGGTTTCCTGGGTGAATGATCTGTGAAGAAATACAACAGCCTTTGTAAAGTCCTTCTCTGATGTTTAGTTAAGGGACATTTTAGAGTATGTTTAGAAAGGGGGTGATGTATTGAATAGCTAAAAAATACGTGATTTGAGTAGTATGTAAACAAGGTATTTGAAGCTATACCAAAATAAATATTGAAAATTCATATAGAGCTTACATTTCATCACTTTTCCGTTCAGATGATTAATGATATTCTTAAATAACATATATGTGAGTATGTGGTGCATAGTAAGAGATGAAATAAATGTTGGATTTGTTGAGGCTGCCTGATTCAGAGCATCATGTAGATCATGCTTTACATACATATATAGTAAGAGGGGGCTTAATTTATAATCTCGTAAATAATGACACAGATCCATTTGGGGGGTGGATTTCACCATAATTAAGTGTTTTATGGTGCTGTATAAGGTGCTAATCTGAGCACATTTAAAGTGTGTATCAGGTGAATTTCCAGCTCCAAAAGTAACACAGGTACGTTTTAAATGTCTTTATTCTTTTTTTATTTTTCCTTTTGTTACAATGTAGGTGAATGCATCACGGCAAGATATTGAAGATGCTGAAGAGACAGCAGCTCAAACTAGTGGTGGGACAGATGCCACGGAAGGATTGTTTAATATGGTCAGCATTTCTGTAAATAAAGGAAACACACAGTTCATAATTTCAGAGGGTGGGAAGACACATCTAATGGTTTCTCATCTTTTTCAAGGCAATTAAAATAGCGCAGAAATCATTGAAAGTGATTTATTACATGCACAGTTTACTACTGTTTTACTTATTGCCAAGTATAGTTCATTTGTTTCCAAGGCTTTGAAATTGAGTTTGGAGTTCAGGATATTTCTTTTTTTCTCTCCTCCCCTTTGAATCTGAGGTGCTTGTTTTGTTTGTTTTTCAAAGCCATATATTGTTTTTGAAGGAATGAGAAATAGAAAAGCATACCCATTTAATTTCTCTGTTTTACAAATTGTATGCCTTAGAGCAGTACTTCTTTACCTAGGGTGGTCTCTTACATTGAGCTCATTAGAAGGAGATCCTAAGGCAGGGATTTGAATGCTCTTGGCACAAAGGATGTGAGGAAGCGGGACAAGACAGGGGAGGAGTTTAGTGAGGGTTTGGTTTCAGTTGGAAAGTAGCCACAGCCTGATCCTTCTGGGAACTCTGGAGCATGAGAGTTGGTCCTGGCTGGGGGGTCATGCAGATGACGTCTTGTGACTTGTAGTCAGTTAGTCATTGGCTCTGAGAGAGGGTTGGGAGGGAGTACAAAGTCAGTCCTGGCTCCTCTTCTGTTGAGGGCAGTTCTCCAGAGAAGGGGCTATCACAGTGCCCACTACATTGGTGAAATTTGTCATGTTTGCATGGTCAGACTGTGCTTGTGTCTTCTAAATGAAAATCTGATGCTGGGGCACTGGATTTGTGCTTTTAAAACTCTGCAAGTAGTTAATGTTTCACATCCTTGGTAGAGAGCTCCTGTATAGAATGATGTCTCTGTTTGTTTTCATGTCAATTTTTTTCTTTATCTTTAAAGGATGAAGATGAAGACCCTAAAGGTGAAATAAAGGCTGATCCTGCACAGCTTGATCACATGGTACATCCCGTAGCTGAACGCCTGGACATCCTGCTGTCTTTACTCTTGTCCTACGTTAAGGATGTCTGCTACATAGATGGTAACAGCCTATAATGATAACAGTAACTCATCTGTGTTGAAATACACCTTCCATACACCTGGCTCTATGCTGGAGGCATTTTATATATATTATCTCTAGTACTGATAAGAATCCTGTAAAAATCAGTATTTTGAGTATGAGGAAAAGAAAATTTAGAAAAGTCAAGTAACTACCCAGTGTCGTATGGTTTCATGGGGCTGAGATTTAGGCTTAATTACACCTGTTTTCAAAGCCACTGATCTTTTCTCTAAATATTATATCAACACATGTATGGAGTTTGGTCAGTTTTAGGCAGGGATCACATTACACTCAAGTTATTCAGTGCATTTAAAAATGGTGCAGTAGGCATTGATTACTTTGCTTGGTGTTATGCATTGAGCTTAGACGGTCTGCTCAGTACATTTTTGTGCCAGGTGTTGGTACAGTTGTGAGCAAATTGTGCTGTTTGCCCTCATGGGTCTGGTGACTTTGTCATGAAGAAAACAATTCTTTTCTGTTCACATTGATTGTTAAGATTTAAGAGTGAAATCAACCACTCAGAATAATAGTACTTCAAGTGTTTTGTTTTGTTGTACATAAGGTTGCTATGAATCAGGGCGGAGTTGACAGCACCTAACAACAACTCTGGTAGCATAGTGGCTAAGGCACTTGACTGCTAACCAGAAGGCTGGCGGTTCAAACCCACCAGCCACTCCTCGGAAGGAAGGTTGGGCATTCCTA